GGAGTACCACAGGGTTCAGTTCTTGCACCAGTGATGTTTATTGTCTACATAAATGATCTACCAGTTGGTATACAGAATTATATGAACATGTTTGCTGATGATGCTAAGATAATCGGAAGGATAAGAAACTTAGATGATTGTCATGCCCTTCAAGAAGACCTGGACAAAATAAGTACATGGAGCGCCACTTGGCAAATGGAATTTAGTGTTAATAAATGCCATGTTATGGAATGTGGAATAGGAGAACATAGACCCCACACAACCTATATATTATGTGAGAAATCTTTAAAGAATTCTGATAAAGAAAGAGATCTAGGGGTGGTTTTAGATAGAAAACTATCTCCTGAGGACCACATAAAGAATATTGTGCGAGGAGCCTATGCCACACTTTCTAACTTCAGAATTGCTTTTAAATACATGGATGGCGATATACTAAAGAAATTGTTCACGACTTTTGTTAGGCCAAAGCTAGAATATGCAGCAGTTGTGTGGTGCCCATATCTTAAGAAGCACATCAACTGGAAAAGGTGCAAAGACATGCTACTAAGTGGCTCCCAGAACTGAAGGGCAAGAGCTACGAGGAGAGGTTAGAGGCATTAAATATGCGAAAACTAGAAGACAGAAGAAAAAGAGGTGATATGATCACTACATACAAAATAGTAACAGGAATTGATAAAATCGATAGGGAAGATTTCTTGAGACCTGGAACGTTAAGGACAAGAGGTCATAGATATAAACTAGCTAAACACAGATGCCGAAGAAATATAAGAAAATTCACTTTCGCAAACAGAGTGGTAGATGGTTGGAACAAGTTAGGGGAGAAGGTGGTGGAGGCCAAGACCGTCAGTAGTTTCAAAGCGTTATATGACAAAGAGTGCTGGGAAGACGGGACACCACGAGCGTAGCTCTCATCCTGTAACTACACTTAGGTAATTACACAGAGACAGACAGACAGAGACAGACAGACAGAGACAGACAGACAGACAGACAGACAGACAGACAGACAGACAGACAGACTTACTCAAGACCAAATAACTAGTGAATTATTTTCTGATGGTGAGGAAAGTGATATTGATGACTCTTGACACTGATAAGGGCTACACACAAATGACTGATAATAGTAGTACAGAGTGAATTTGAGATACAGCTTGCTCCCATGGCGAGGCCTATATGCTCACCAGTGCCTCCTTACCCAGTGTCTACTCCAATTTGCGCACGACCACACAGTTCTTGTACTTATTTAGAGTATGAGGATATTTTTGGCGACGAGTCAGAGGAAGGTGACTCTTTTTTTTGGTTTCAGTGAAGTGAAATCAGAGCATAGTATTACCATGCCTGTCGCTAGTGCCAGTGGTGTTACCATGCGGGATTTTGTTGCGACAGCAGCGTCTCGCCCAGCCAAGTGCCGCCGCATGGCACCACATGAGGAACCAAGACCCTCATGTTCACGTGATTTTACCTCATGTTCAGTTAGCGCCCGTACTTTGCGTAGATGGGCTTCAGCTCCTGGTCCACGGTGTGCAACTATTCCTCGCCGTGGTGCAGCTGTTTCGTCTCGCAGGACACCAGGTGTACTTGTGTGGAGTGGTGACAATTTTGTTCCTCTAATTCCTGCCTTTGACAATAAAGACGTTGAGGTTACAGACTTTTTTCCTGATACTGGTGAGGACATGTGTGAAATGGACTATTTTACAGCATTTTATGATGAGTTGCACATCCAATATATTGTACAAGAAACGAACATTTATGAGGCTCATCTCATTGAAAAAGAGATAACAGAATTTTCATGATCACAGCATTGGAAAACACTACTGTAGGTGAAATGTATGTATTTTTGGCACTATTTGTGTTGAGGCGTCCGTGAACACATTGAGCAAGGGAAGGGGAAGGTGCAATGGCACCGAACCCCGAAAAACCCAAAGAGGAAGCTGGAGACAAAGCAACCGATGCAAGGACACCCGGGGTCGAACCCAGCAGTCGCAAGAGTGGTAAAAGAGGCTGCCCAGAAGATACCAGAACAATCTCCGTAGCCAAACCCTGACCAGCAGATAAACCAGCTTTGTGAAGTTCAGGCTCACTCGAGCAACCTCCGAGTGACCCGAATCCCCCTCATAAACAGCTAAAAGCAGGACTGCAGCTAGAGCAAAGCCGCTGGAGGGAGAGAGGCGGACGCCATCCAAGAATCCCATACGAAGCCCAGCCAAGTCCGAACCTGGGACAGAACCAACTGTCTCAGGTTGGTTCTGCAAGACCTGCAGACCAGCTGGGAGCTCATACCAACTAGTTGTCGAGGTAGGCCAGAACCCGCAAATCTAGCAGACACAGATGCAGACGGGTCACCATGACCCTGGTTAATCACTTGAAAACACGAGGTGTCAGATTCAGACCGAATGGAAGACAACAAAAACGGTAAGCCAGTCGACCCACCACGAACCCCAACCAATCTCTGAACCCCAACCAATCTCTGAATATTCATCTGATATGGATGAATAGGAACATGCCAATAAGCATCCCTGAGGTCCAGGAGAAATCATCCAAGAGCCAGGCTCAAGAAGAAGCTGGACCTGGGACAATGTGGTTATCCAAAAGGAGTGCTAAGGAATCAAACGGTTCAGACAGGATAAGTCCAGAATGAACTGAAGACCTGCACAATCCGTTTCAGAACAAGGAAACAAGCGGGAAACCCTCTTGAGGGATAAAGTCGTTTAGGAACTGGAAACAAGCGGGAAACCCACTTGAGGGATGATGTCGTTTCAACCATACCCAAGCGAACCCACTTCAAGATGACCTGACCCATAGCCCCATCAACGGGGCGACCAGCAAAAGGGCTGACGAGCCCGCCAAGAAGCCGACTTCTGCCCAGAGCAACCACTGTGCCGGACAGACGTAGAAGACCCCAGGGAACACACCAGCTCCAAAACTGGCACCAAAGGCCCACCTTGATATGATGAAGCCCGAGCCCTGGCATGACCACCCTGAAAAGCCCAAGAATGACCCCTCCAGAACACCAAGTCATAGATGGGGCGGCAACTAGTAGAACCCACCGATAAAAACTGCGCAACATAGTTCTCTGGAAATAACAGTGGACAAAACAGAGACGAAGACTACAAAGCCAAGCCAAGGCTCAGGCAGAACCTAAAGAGAGAGCAAGGATGATCTCCCAACACAGGAGACGGGAAGTGAAGAATAGAGAAATTACCTCCCAGAGGATCGGTGCAAAGAGCTTCAGCAGGGCAGCTGATGCCTCAGCAGCCAAAACCAGAACTCCAGACAAAGGCCTCTCATGCAACGCCTCCTCCCCCCCCCCATGTCCTCCGAAGACAGCTCCAAAAGACAGAAGAAGCACAAGACCGAGGCCAAATGCCCACAAGCTCGATAGTCCTCAGTTGCCAAGGCAGCCAAAAGAGTGGTGACCTGAGCATGTAGCTTTCCCACATCATGAGAAAGTGCAGGGGTGAAGAGGCACTCATTGAGGAACTCCAATGATCTACCCAAGAATACATGAAACACAGAAGCTACCTTCCATCATTCAAGTGTGCAGGTACAACAAAACCCGCACCAAACTCAATGCGAGAAGAAAGGGCAGTCTGCCCGCCAGAAAGACTCCGGAACCTCGCAGGAGGTAAGCACAAGCACCTCCCAAACCTCCGCAGGGGAAATCTGTGAGGAAGTAAACCTCCGGAAGGACGAATCCGGAGAAACCAAAGGCACCAGGAAACTAACCCATTAGGGGAACCGTACCCTATTCAAATTCATACAGGGATGAAGGATACAAAAACCCCACCCCTGCAACAATAATCCCTGTCCAGAAGGCACTAGGGCCCATGCAGGGTCAAAAGGAGCCCAATCACTCCATACGGACAGCCCGAGCTCCGGATACCCCCGACACAGGGCCCAAGGCCAGAGCTCTCATCCACACCCACCACCCCTAAAGAATAGGTCCAGTCCAGGGAAAAAGCTTCAAAGAAGGGAATCTGGTGGGTTGACCCAGAAGCCTCGGCAGGAAAATCGGGCTAAACCACCTTTGCACCCAACTCGGAAGGAGCAATTCCAGAAGCCATCCAAGCCTCATCCCAAGCTAAACCCTGTCCCGACTCAGAAACTCTCAGACGTTTGGGAGTTGGAAACGGTGGGGGGGGGATGAGTAGGACGAACCACAACCGCCACCTGTTCTCTGACCACCAGGCACATCAGTTGAGAACTGAAGGGGTGAGCTGTCGGCTCACCTGAGCTGGCCCCCCCTCCCACATTTGGGGGTGGGAGGCGCTAACGAGTGAATATGATAGTTGGATGAGGTGTTGCTTGTTAGTTTACATTTGGGGGGGGGGGGTATTTTGCTCTGTTTGGATGTAGGTTTCAATTTTTACCAGCTGGAGGTTTGTATTGTTTCGCCTATCTTTCTGAGTGCCCTTCCCATTCGATGACAAAGATGACATACAGTACTCTAAATGCAGAGTGCTCATTGACCATTGCTTCCCGTGCTTCTCTGAGGGGACAAGGTTCTGGCTTGTGGTTCCTGGTAGGCTTAAGAACTCCCATGACTGATGACCCCAAACTATGATTGCACATGTTAGTTTGGATAGCTTCAGGGAGCTGACAGAGCTCCTCACAGAAATTAGGTTCTTTTTCATATTCACACTCATTCATTATATAGCACTCATAATGGTAACTGAGTTTTGAACAAGAACAAAGTATTCCTGAAGGATTTAGATTTACCACATGGCATGACATTCTTCTCTGGTGTTGCCAGAAGGCACGAGCTATTGAACTCAAATTTCTGTTTAGAAGCCATTTTATACGAATGTTACAGGATGTAGAAATTATTTTTTGCTGGACAAGTTCTACTGACTACTGCATCCAAAGGGTTAAAACATTCCTCTTTGATGCAGATCAAGATAATTACTCACTACACACAATTTTTTATGGCTTTCAACAGACAAATTTAGAAACCTAAGTAACATAAAGCTACATATGAGCTCCAACCCTCTCAATACACCAACCTCAGTCTGATCCTCTGTGTGTATCCTGGAGTGAGCCCGCAGTTGGCTGAGTCGGGAGAATGTCTCTGGACAATCAACACATGTGTAGATTCTAGTAAGACGCTGAATCTTCTCATATTTCTTTCTTGGTCTTTTATTCTTTTTTATTCTTAGGCCCCTTCTACCATTTGAGCTTTCTCCTATGTTTTCATCATTACTATCTTTATCACTGTCTTCCATATCCTTTTTAATGTCAATCAGTTCATCCTCATTTTCCAGTTCAGTGATTGCTAAGCATTCTTGTATAAATTTATCTTCTACTACACTCTCTATTTTCATGGTGATCTCACTCGCAGACACAAGACCAGTTGTACCATTTTCTCTGTGACAGTTTTGTATGTTGACAATAGAATAGCAGCTTGTTGGTGGTGAAGGACAGGTTTCCATCTTCAGTTTTTTATTCACTGATCTGAAACACAGTTGTAAGAATACATTAGCTTAAATTTCAAGGTTAGGGACTAATAAATTTATGGAAAAACCCATAAAAGCAGTGGGGGTGGGGGTGGGGGGGGGGGGGGAACCTATGACAAGCCACGACAAGCCACCAGCTTTCTGTCCCCATCAAGACCAATAGAGGATGGTGCACTAAGCTAAATTCAGGTAAATTATATACAATTTATTTTGTTGTCCAGATACACATTGAAGATGGAGGAGGCAGGAGTCACATTGCAGCAAGCTCCTGGAATACTGAATTACCTAAAGTATGTATTGGAAAAAGGTTGAGGGCTACAGTGGTGTCCCAGGTTACATAAAGGTTGAGGGAAGTTTAAAAGCAAATAAGATACAATAAAGAAGTGAAAGTGATTGAAAATTGCTGAGTTGGAAAAGTTTGCTTTCTACAACAAACAAGTGTCAATAACAAAGATGGCTGCCAAGAGATGATTATTTCAAAGGATTCACACCACAAGATATAAGAAAATGAAGTTTTCTTGGCAGGTTAGAGATAATTGAGGAGAAAAAGAAGTAGGAAGAAAAAGTGCTTAAATTGGAAGAGGACAATGGAACTCTTAGGAGTGAGCTTTGCACTCTAAAAGGAAGTATTCTTCAGCAAGGTAAGATTATTACTGCATTAATGGACAAGGTAACAAATCGGGAGGAACAAATCAAGGAACTAGTGACAGAAAATGAGATATGGAAACTGAAGAGTGGTGACTTTGAGGAAATAAACAAGAAAATAGACTCATACAGTGAACTACTCCAAGGGACCATGAGAGCTAACACAGAGTTAGGTAAGGATCTGCAACTGGAAACTTCATTGTCAACTCACATAGAGGAGGTTAATAAAGAACTGGAAAAGTATTAAGAAGAAATAAAAAGAGACGTATGTGCAAGTTATACAAGAGAAAGAGGCGATCAAGGAAGAGTGTTTGGAAGTCAAAACCAGAAATGAACAACAAGAAGCAGAACCTAGGCAAGCAATTAGGAAAGAACTGGTTACCAACAGTAAACTAGTACAAAACACTGCAGACAGAAGTAAGTCCATAATAATTTTTGGGTGTTTAGAGAAGGAAATTTCATCTAGGGGTGGACAGAGCAGCAGAAGAGATGAAAATCATATAAAAAATAGTAGGTTTAGGAGAAGGCCTAAATTCAAAGGAACATGTCAGTGATTTTAGGATAGAAAAATTATGAAAAAGCCAAGAACAGCTCCTTAAGGGTGATGTTTAATGGAGTGAAACATATGACAGAAATGTTTAGAAATGCCAGAAAATTGCAATGTGATGAGGATGGCAAACTTTGGTCAATAAGACAAGACCTCTCAAAGGAGAACAGAGAAAAGCTGAAAATGAACCTCATTGAAGCAAAATGTCTATATGGGAATGAAAAAGAAAGGAATTCTTTTTTCTACAAAATGTGAGGGACTGGAAAGCTAGTGAAATGATACATAAAGACAAAGCAGCAAAATCATTAAAAGGAGGAGGTGTAAAGAACAAAGGGAAGGGGAACATGTTCCTGAAAATAGTATATACCAACATAGATGAAGTGAAATAAAAAATATTGGAGTTGAAGGATATAATTCAGCTCAAGGTCCCAGCTATTGTCGCATTAACAGAGACGAAACTTGAAGAAAATATTTTAAAAGAGGTTGCATTCCCAAGGAGCTACTCAGTTTAGAGACGTGACAGGAAAATTAGGAAGGGGGCGAAGGAGTGGCTGCGCTGGTGAAAGAACACCTGAAGGTAAGAGTGTTAATAACTGAAAACCCTCGAGATGTTGACATAATGGCATTGCAGGTCTGGAATCAGGATAATAAGCTGATAATTGTAAATGCTTACAGTCCACCAGCAAGCAACACGTGGACAAAGGAAGAACTGGATGACAAACGAGAGGGCCTCATAATGATCATGAGAGAGATTATGGTAAGAGCTGACAAAAATAAATCCCGATTGTTGGTATCCGGGGTCTTCAACTTTAAGGCAATAGACTGGGAGGCCTATAAGGCAAGAACGGAGGACATTTGGACAGGTATATTTGTAAACCTTATTTTGGAGACATTTATGTATCAATACATCAAGCAGGCCACAAAACTGAGGGAAGGGAATGTTCCTTCAGTACTGGATTCACCAAGAAAGAGAGGTATTTGACATCCAGTACCTTCCTCCCTTGGGAAAGAGTGATCATGTCCTATTGGACATTATATACACTTTGCGATATAAACTAGTTGAGAATGGGAACATTGAAACAGTTGATAAACTCAATTTGAAGAGAGGACGCTATGGGAAACTTAAAAAAGAATTTCATGGGTATAATTGAACAGACTTGTTGCTAGGGCAAGGAAGTAAATGAGATGTATGCCAAATTTTGCAAAATATACGATGAAGGCACACAAACATTCATACCAAAACAGAGATGTAGACCTAGGAAACAGGGTTGGTTCAACAGAAATTGCAAGAGGGCCAGAGATCAAAAAACACAAAAATGGAATCATTATAGGAAGAGGCCAAACCCTCAAACATACCAGTGATACAAAGATGCAAGAAACAACTACACGTCAGTAAGGAGAGAGGCAGAGAGGAACTTTGAGAACGATATAGCAGACAAATGTAAATCAGATCCAGGTCTTTTCTATAATTCATTAAAAAGCAAGCTGCAGGAAAAGAATAATATTCAGAGGTTGAAAACGGGAGACAGATTCATGGAAAATGAAAAGGAAATGCACCTGAGCTCAGCATTCCACTTCAGCTGATTTTTCAGATATCCCTATGTACAGGAGTTGTAGCAGATGTGTGGAAAAAGGCTAACAGTTAAAATCTACAAAAGTGGCAGCAGGGAAGACCCCCCTCAATTATAGACCTGTATCATTGACAAGTGTAATAGTCAAAATATTGGAAAAAATAATTAAAACTAAATGGATGGAACACCTGGAGAGAAATGCTATAATACCTGACAGACAATATGGTTTTCGATCTGGAAGATCCTGTGTATTGAATTTACTCAGTTTCTATGATCGACCCAGAGATTTTACAGGAAAGAGATGGCTGGGCTGACTGCATCTATCTGGGCCTAATAAAGGCTTTTGACAGAGTTCCACATAAAATGTCGTTCTGGAAACCGAAACATATTGGAGAGGTGATAGGCAAGCTTCTAGTACGGATGAAACATTTTCTGACTGATAGAAAAATGAGGGCAGTAATCAGAGGCAAAGTATCGGACTGGAGAAATGTCACAAGTGAAGTACCACAGGGTTCAGTTCCCGGTGATTTTTATTATCTACATAAATGATCTGCCAGATGGAATACAGAATTATATGAACATGTTTGCTGATGATGCTAAGATAATAGGAAGGATAAGAAACTTAGATGATTGTAATGCCCTTCAAGAAGACCTGGACAAAATAAGTACATGTATATGGAGATCCCCTTGGCAAATGAAATTTAATGTGCATAAATACCATGTTATGGAATGTGGAATAGAAGAACAGAGACACCCCCACACAACCTATAAATAAATGTGGAAAATCTTTAAAGACTTCTGATAAAGAGATCTAGGGGTGGTTTTAGATAGAAAACTATCACCTGACGACCACATAAAGAGTGTTGTGTGAGGAGCCTATGCTACACTTTCTAACTTCATAATTGCTTTTAAATACATGCATGGCAAAATACTAAAGAAATTGTTCACGACTTTTGTTAGGGCAAAGCTAGAATATGCAGCAGTTGTATGGTGCCCATATCTTAAGAACCACATCATCAAACTGGAAAAGGTGCAAAGACATGCCACTAAGTGGCTCCCAGAACTGAAGAAAAAGAGCTTCGAAGAGAGGTTAGAGGCATTAAATATACCAAAACTAGAAGATAGAAGAAGAAGAGGCACTATGATCACTACACATAAGATAGTAACAGGAATTGATAAAATTAATAAGGAAGACTTCCCGAGACCTGGAACTTCGAGAACGAGAGGTCATACAGTGGTACCTCGGGTTACGAACATCCCTGTTTACGAACTTTTTGGGTTATGAGCCCGATTTGTTCGGAAAATTTGAGTCGGGATACGAACTTTGCATTTGGATACGAGTTACGAGTTACGAGTTGATATGTGTACGGCCGACCTAGCACATGGTGGCACAGCGATCGCTCCTTAGTTTAACAGTGCTTCGCGCCCAGTGACTATCCCACCTGAATTCTTCACAAGAATTTACAGTTTTTTGTCGGATTGTTGGCCATTTGAGCATAAAATTTATTATATATCTCGCTATGGGTCCCAAGAAAGCCAGTGGTAAGGTTCAAGGCAATAAATCGCATGTGAGAAGGACCATAGAGGAAAAACAAGAGATCATTTGTAAGCATGAAAATGGTACTCGTGTTGTTGAACTAGCTAGGCAGTACAACAAATCCACATCAACGATATGCACTGTACTTGTCAAGAAAAAGGACATTATGAGTGCTAAAGTGGCAAAAGGCGTATCAACGATCACGAAATCAAGTCCACAAACACTTGAGGATGTGGAAAAGTTGTTATTAATTTGGATACACAAGGAATTAGCGGGTGATAGTGCTTCAGAGGCCAACATTTGTGAATTTGTGAAAAAGCCAGGGTATTGCACAAAGACCTTGTAAAGAAAACCCCTGGAACGAGTGCAGATATGAAAGACTTTAAGGCAAGCAGGGGATGGTTTGACAAATTTAGAAAAAGAGTTGGTATTCATAGTGTTGTGAAGCATGGGGAGGCTGCCAGCTCAAACCAGCGGCTGAAAGATTTATTGAAGAATTTAAAGATTTTGTAGAGGCTGAGGGATACCTACTGCAACAAGTGTTTTATTGTGATGAGAAAGGACTGTTCTGGAAAAGACTGCCTAAGAGGACATACATTACCAAGGAGGAGAAATCATTGCCCGGACACAAGCCTATGAAAGATAGGTTTACACTTGTACTGTGTGGAAATGCGAGTGATTTGAAAATTAAACCCTTGCTTGTGTCTCATTCTGAAAATCCAAGGGTTTTCAAAAAGCATGGTGTGCAGAAAAACCAAATGTGTGATGTGGAGGGCTAATAATATGGGTGACTAGGAATTTTTTTACGGAGTGGGTGAATGATGTGGTGTGCCCTGCCATACAAAAATATCTTCAGGAGAAAAGTTTGCCACTAAGTTTGCTCTGCTTCTCCTCGACAATGCTCCTGCTCATCCTCCATTCTTGGAAGATGCATTGTTGAACAGATTTAATTTTCTCACAGTAAAGTTTCTTCCTCCTAACATCACTCCTCTAATTCAGCCTATGGACCAGAAAATCATAGCGAATTTTAAGAAACTTTATGAAACGGCACTTTTCCGGAAATGTTTTGAAGTGACTGAAGCCACAAACCTCACCCCTCAGAGAGTTCTGGAAACACCATTTTAACATCTGTAGTGCTTTAAAGTGTGTGTCAGATTTAGACTTTGAGGGGTTTGAGACTGTAAATGAAGTGCCTATTGTTGAGAAAATTGTTACTCTGGGCCAGAAAATGGGCTTGGAATTGGATGGTGCTGCAATTTGCCGTGCTTTCATCCTGTATTTACCTAAGTATAGTTACAGGATGAGTCCTGAACATAGTCCAGGATTAAAGTAAACTCTCAGTGTATATACATCAAGAAGCAGGGTACACCTCTTGATGTATCTCTGCCTGAAATTTGTGTGTGTTAGTGATACCTGCTTGATGCTTGCTTAATGGGGTTCTGGGAGTTCTTCTACTCCCCAAGCCCGGCCCAAGGCCAGGTTTGACTTGTGAGAGCTTGGTCCACTAGGCTGTTGCTTGGAGCGGCCCGCAGGCCCACATACCGACCACAGCCCGGTTAGTCCGACACTTTTTTTTAGAAAACAATCTAGTTTTCTCTTGAAGATGTTCACGGTTGTCCCAGCAATATTTCTTATAGTCGTTGGGAGAACGTTGAACAACCACGGACCTCTGATGTTTATACAGTGTTCTCTGATTGTGCCTATGGCACCTCTGCTCTTCACTGGTTCAATTCTGCATTTTCTTCCACATCATTCACTCCAGTATGTTGTTATTTTACTGTGTAGATTTGGGACCTGGCCCTCCAGTAATTTCCATGTGTACATTATTTTGTATCTCTCTCGTCTCCTTTCTAGTGAGTACATTTGGAGAGCTTTGAGACGATCCCAATAATTTAGGTGCTTTATCACGTCTATGTATACTGTATATGTTCTCTGTATTCCATCTATCTCAGCAATCTCTCCTGCTCTGAAGGAGAAAGTGAGTACCGAGCAGTACAGCTTTGAAAGAATGCAAGAACATCAATATTTGATGTTCAAGAACATGATACTTGGTTTATGGAATAATATCATTGCCAAACTGTCATGATAGAGACATGCCAAACTGTCTCTATCCTGTCCAGGAATTGAACCTGGGACGACTTGAGAATGGTCCAGGACGGACCGAAACATCGTCGTCCTTTCACCTTCTAGTGTGTGGTCTGGTCAACATTGAACCTGGGACATTCAGTTGTGAGCTGACCAGAGCTGAGCAGTTGCAACTTGTGAACAGTTGAAAGATTCAGTGAGTAGACTACTGTATTACAGGACATTTTATGGCAATTCTGATGAGCAATTCACAAAAGGATTTTAGACTTGTGAGAAATTGAGAGGGAGACACTGGATGAGTCTAACATATATTTCAAACACAATCCAATACCACATAATTTGAGGAGGATGGTTATTCACTTTGTTTTACATTTCCTTATGAAAAATAGTATCCTAGAATAGGGAAAGCATACAAGAGGCTTTATACAAAATATTGCAATTTGTCTTGGGTCTAATACAAAAATTTATCATTTGTCATAACTTCATATCAGTGCAGATGATGAGTCACAATAATGTGGCTGAAGATATGATGACCAAACCACACACCAGAAGATGAAGAAACGACGACGTTTCAGTCCTTCCTGGACCATTATCAAGTCGAAAGTTATAAAGTATGTACTGTATTGTAATAGTTACAATACTTTATAACAGTATCGTAGCTACTGTATTTATTTAGCATAAAAACTGATAGCAATAATTCATAATTCATTGTGTCTGGAGACAGGCAGCCAGTGTGTGTTCATACATATTAGACTTAAAATGAGGTGACCCCCCCCCCAAGTTCTAATTACTGACCACACTGAGGCTGCAACCCCACAAGCAGCTGACAAACTCCTGAGTATTTAGTCACTGCTCAATGAACAGGTGCATTAGGTAAAAGGAATTGCGCCCAACTATTTCTGTGCCATCCATGAGTCAAACACGGAATTCTCAATTGTGAGTCGAGAACGAAACCGACTGTACTATTGGAATCCAAATATATACTAATACTGTACAGTATACAGTAATTATATACTGTATGTCACATATCACATGTTATTCTTTTGCTGAAAGGAACAACTAGTTTTTTGAATTATATAACTTTCTCTGAGGGGTCAATACACCTACATTTGCTACTAATATTTAACACTGGCCTGTATACCATAAATGTTTTCTGAGCATAAAATCTTATTTAAGCTAATTATGCAATTAACTTCAGTAATAAGACTGTGTCCAACCATGTAAATATTTTAAATGGTTTCATTAGGCATGGTTTTTTTAAACTTCCACATCCTTGACAAGAAATTAGGTCTTGGAAATTTCATTGATAATGAAACTAGGATATTAATTAAAAGGATTAATAATAATCAGGTGATAATTAATAAATTAAAAATTTATTTAACATAAATATAGTTACAGTATTACACAAATTCACACAATACATGGTCTTTGCTCTCAAGATGGTATTATCAATACTGGGTCTTGGAATTATATGCTCTCAAATATTTGTCTGTGTCAATAAGGCAAAAGCTTTTATAAATCACCTGCATTGTATATTCAAAAATTGAGGCTACATTCTTATAAGTATATTAGATACAGGAAATACAAATTCATGTTCACTTGTTATAGGGCGGTACATCGCAGTTGAAGAGCACCAAAAATCAGCAATTCAGTATGGTCATCAATGTGATGCCACATCATTCAAAGATCCAACAGCCAGGTAAATCATCAGCACATGAAATATTATTTCTCAGTTACTTTGCTTATATATACTGAAGTTGTATAAGCATTGACTCCTGAATTTAAGGTGAATTATCTTGAAGACTACAATAAGGTACAAAGTTATTTAACTCGCATGTTGTTTATACATATCTTCCCTGTATTACTTATTTTGTGTGTTTTAGAGTTAAAACCAAAAATGACCATTATTTACCTATCTTATATTCCTAGTTCCACATGTCACTAATTAACAACATAATAGACAATACAAATTCTTAGAAATCAGTCTCAGCAATTATAAACATAAACCACGTGTGAATTTCTGCACAAAAACATTAAAATATGAAACAAACTAAATTTTGTTTATGCCAACCTTTTCTTGACTATAATATAAAACGCCCCTTTAACAAGACTACAATTATTTGTTAATATAAAATAGAGGAATACTGCAATAATCCCAGCGTTACGTCGCCACAAACTGCATAATATCAGAAAATAAAAAAGGAAAACTATATATATTACAACCCTAGTCGTTCATTGTGTCAGACACTGCCGCCCTCACCCAGTCCTCTGGCAGCTCCCAGCCCTCATTACCCCATTGGTCCTCAGTGAATCTCAAGGAATAAGAATAAAAATCAGCTCGGACATCCATTATTGACAGGTAGAGGCTGGTGTCATACCTGTGTGTCGTGATTGTCTACTGAATATGACTCGTTGTCAGCCACAGGATGCTGCAGACGACCTGTGAGTACATGTAAACACAACGCCACCACCAACCCAATAGAAAACCAAACTTTCTTAAAAAACATAGATAAAATGAAGCCGTAAATAAAGGAGTCATATTTTTTATATTCTGTTACTTGTAATAAGTTAACTTTAAATGCGAAAATAAAAAATATATAATTTGAAAGAGGTGTTCTTGAGCATTATTTCTCTTTCGTTTGACTAAACTGCAGTATTGTCTGATGCATGATGATACAAATTTTGGTGAGACTGTATTTAACAATATGTTTTACTTCAAAAATGTTTGTTTATCATTATATAAGATGTTTCAAATACATAAACTATGTAATTTAATTTGCCTTCGAATTATATGCATACATGTGCATTATTAGAATATATGCACCTTAGCCAGGATAACGACTATCCTACATCACTCTTCACCTTAGGCTGTCAGATGCATGTAATTTCTCGATCAATACAAGAAGGGCGCGATGTTTAATTAATTATTAATTCCTATTTATTCCGTTCAATTCTGATTCTGTGCAAATACTTGCTCAAGTAATTTGACTTTCTTTTAAACAAGCTTAAGTATACATAGCAATAAGCTGCTACCTTATTCTATATTGCTACCCAATCTCCCAATCTTTATGTACCCAATCTGAACATCTTCATCATTGCGATCATTGCTGTCTTCTTATATGTGCTGTCAATCTGCTGTATGGTGTCTATTAATCTTGTTTAAATTACCAATCAAGCTGTCAATGTAATCAACCAGAGCTTTAATATACCAATGTGCTTTAATATACTTACTAATCTCTCTCATCTCATTTTTTTCTTGCAATGTATTTGTTATCATTCTATTAATTCTGATAGAATTTACCTACTTAAAATTATCTGTTAGATTAAGGACCTGCCCGAAACGCTGCGCGTACTAGTGGCTTTACAAGAGTGTAATTACTGTACTATGCTATGTATTCTCACAAACCCAATGTACCTTCTTGTATATAAATAAATAAATAAATAAATAAATATGAAAGATTAAACAGTGTAAAGCAAGTATGGGAAAAAATTTAGATAGCTAAGGCGAGCAGAACCCGGCCTGTGGCTCTTTGTGACCCCCAGGGTAAAGCTGAGAAACTATTACACAAGTGGAGTGATGCAGCATCCTCCTCCTCCTTCCCTGCAGAAATAAGCAGGGAACAACTCATGCGACATAATGACAGAAGAATTAGGATAATAAGAAGTAAGAGGAACTATGAAAAAGGGTAAGAGTACTGCACCTGGTGAAGATGGAGTCACCTACGACATACTCAATGCACTATGTGCAGTGTCTGGGAACCCTCTACTCTACCTGTTTAACAAATCATTCCTAAATAGAGAGTTGCCCACACAATGGAAACATGCAGTAATCGTACCCATACCGAAGCCCAATGACCCTAGCAATTCCAGACCTATCAGTCTCGTGTCATGCATGCATGTGTCATCATGAAATGGATTGAAGACTACCTCATATGGGTGAAAGCCATGCAAAGTCTGCTTCAATGCAGCAGTCTCAAGAAGCAGTCCTCGGTCCATAGAATTACCCCAATCACCCCAAATCAGGCCAAAACTACCCAAATCGTCCTAGCATTACGTAAGTAATGAAGAAATATGGCATATTTACTTACTATAATGTTGGTGCTACACATAGAACATGATCAAACCTATTTTTACTCTGAAATAATCTAATTTCATAACGAAATTAGACGTAAATATGTGAGAGGTGACGCCATAGGAAGTCGACGGTCCAAGCGACAATTGTGTGGAGCGACTTATCCAAGAAATATGGTCGCCAGGAGAGTGTTTGCTGCCATATCAGCCTCCTGTACACAGTGATCCAGTCCTTTTCGTTCATTGAACACCGAACCCTACACGCCCTCTGATATATTGCTTAATTAACAAATATTCACAAATAAAGATTATATTTGTATATGTTATCAGAAAGGCAGATATAAAATAGTTTTTGTGAATCCATCACAGAGATTATACCTTATTAGAGAGGAAAAATATTCATACTTTAAACAAGGCTTCATGGCCGACGCTCTCCTTACCGATATGGGAACTATGACCTTCCGAAGATCAATGTTAATTTAATCTAGATATTGTAATAAACGAAGTTTTCTATGTCATCATAAAGACATAAATATAAGCTGCATGTTAATACTTTGGCATAAATATAACTGAATTGAAAGTTAAGATATATGCCTTTTTATAGTTACTTGATGGCTCGCTCAGGGAGTGTGAAGGCCTCCACACAAGCCAATCAATTTTATAATTACTTTGCATATATGCAAAGTAACGCCATAGGTCTTTATGTCAGAATAAAGCCATGTAGACGATAATGTAACTACATTTCAAGGAAAACATATCTTAATATAATTATTAAATGAATGCAAAGTTATGGTTAAATAAATAGCCAATACCACACAATCGCCGGTGTCCGGACACATGAATAGTCGCATTAGGTGAAAGGAAATGTACCCAACCATTTCCATTTACCCAACCAGTTTGTGCACCCTATACTCATCCTCTGTGCGGTAATTTATTGTGCATCCCATACTCATCTTGTTACCAGTAGTTTGTGCAACCCATACTCATCCTGTGACCCGTAATTTATTGTGCATCCCATACTCATCCTGTTACCGGTAGTTTGTGCAGCCCATACCCATCCTGTGACCTGTAATTTATTGTGCAACCCATACTTATCCTGTGACCTGTAGTTTATTGTGCAGCTAATACTCATTCTGTGAGTCATAGGACATTGCGCAACCCTTTCTCATCGTGTGAATCTTTGTTTACTTTGCTCTCCATATTCATCCTCTGCGCGATAGTTTCTTGTGCAACCCATACCCATGATGTGAGTGGTAGTTTATTGTGTACCCTATATTCATCCTGTGAGTATAGGGTACACAATTCTTGTTTGGATTCTTGTAATGTTATTTGTCTATTTGTAGTCACAGTATTTGTGCGCCCCTTGAGGGACTTGAATTAGAGGGGGGTTGAAATAGCCTAAGCTACTCTATCCCTTTGAGATGTATTTATTGCTTATCTCAATAAACATACTTGAACTTGAACTTGGGTACACAATGAGTTCATTTGTACTCCATACTCATCATCAAGAAGTGTATTTTACCAGCATTGTAATATAAATTAAGAATAAAAGCTTAACTGGATTACGGACCCATAATCAAAATAAGAGTCATCACTAATTATCATGACAAATTGTCTAGGCTACACTTCCGCCTTCGACAAGCTGCCGCCGGATGTGGGTATAGTTTATTGTACACCCCCGCACCCCCAGTCCTGGAAGGGCGGGCATTGGGATGTGGACATGTGTACCATTATACCCCCCCCCCCCCCCCCCACACACACACACTCGATCCTCTCCTGTTAATAATAATACTAATAATAATAAAAATTAAAAATAATAACGTTAATAAATATTATAATTAAAACACTTACTGTAATACCCTAGTGCTTGAATGAAGGTGAAGGAAAGACCCAATAAATGTGTAAGTGTATTAAAAACCAAATTTTCGTTGGGTGAGCTGGCAGGTGAGCACCACCTGCCAGCTCACCCAGTAATGAACATCACCTGCACACTGCACCGAACCACTTGCCAGCAGGTGCAGAAGTACGATGGAGAGAGCAAAGTATACAATATTTCAAGTATAATATTAAAGATATATTTAGGATTTAATGTTTTCCTATAAAGTTTCAATAATACCTTTATTTGATTTTTTGTATTATTTTCTACCACAGACGTGGCCACACATTAACAATGCTAACCAGCATATATACATTTTCTTCAGTCCGCCATGGACTCTAACCCTTTCCACTACCGCCCACAAGATGGGTATAGGGTGCATAATATAAGAACTAAACTAACTAACTCCATTGATAGGGTTAGAGATTTGTTAAACATATAGTTCAGGGATTTATTGAACAATCAACCACATAAGGTGATTGTAGTGTTTTTAAAATGCTAGGCTAAGCTACATACGTAAATACATAAATACACAGATTTACGTATGCCCTACATAAAGTGTTCGATGTGTCTTTTACATAGTGTCATTAACGTGCATTTACAAAGGTGAAATTGAATTCTGACCAGCTTCCACATATACTTTATACACATACATATACACACACAGACGTATGCGTACATATACATATATATACATACATATATACACACATACATACACATATATTTGTCTCTTTTACTCTGACAAGGTGAGATAACTGATAGAGAAACTAGTGTGCAATTAAGCACTTAATCACTGAAGGTGATTAAGGTGCTTTCACAAGCTCAGGTTATAGAGTTACATCACATACATTCATTGTATAATTGATACGTTACATGGTCAATCTAGGGTACAAGTTCAATATATCATCAAGTGTTCCAGTACTCAAATAGTAATTACACAGTTCAGCATACCTTAGCCCAGGAGGGCGAAAGTCAGTCAGTATGGGACATTCTACAATATAATGTTCAAGGGAGTGCATATTTTCTCTTTCACAAAGTTGACACATTGTGTACTCGACATTTGGGTTTTGAGAAAGCTGCCAGATACGTCTATATCCCAAGCGTATTATGGCCACTATAACATCACATTGCTGGGTTCTTGTTCCATTAATCCTGTATGTGAATGTCTCCGCACGATATCTATCATAATATTTAATGCTACAATTTTCAGGTCTTTGTGAATTTGTTAGGTCGGTGAGATTTTCATTAGATGTTTGCTTAAGTATTCTCTTTGTCACTGCTAATGAAACACCCATATAAATTTCTACCACTGGTTTTCTACAGGCTGTCTTTGCAAGCATATCAACAGTGTCATGCCTTGAGATGCCAACATGTGATGGTATCCATAGGAATTTAATTTCAAATCTCTTTTCTTTGGCAGCTAAAATATTCATTCGAATATCACTGACTATTTTCTGGGTGTCACTACTATGTGCGTTCAATACCAGGAGTGCACTCTGCGAATCACAGTATATAAGTCGACTGCCTTTGTGTTTTAAAAATTCAGTGGCAAGGTATATGCCTGCAAGTTCGGTTTGAGTTGTACTTGCCCAATCATTGACGCGCTTCATTCATGTATGTACGAGAGAAGATTGTTCAAATATATTACATGCACATCCGGTACATCGTCCACCTTCTTCTACAGAACCGTCGGTATAGCACTGATACACATCGTTACCCATACCCTGAGTACTCTCAGTGATGCTTTTCAGTGTTAACTGTTTTAATAATGTAGAGTGTACATTATCTTTCTTGGGTGCATTTACAAAATCAACTGCTAGATCCAAGTTATCCCATGGAGTAATTGGTTGATTAATCGTTAATTGAGTTGGGTACATATTTAATATTTTGATGGAGTTGGCTACCTTGTAGAACCAAAATGCATAATCAGATTTCGCTCTTCTACGGACCTCAGGTGAGTGTAGCATATTAGAAAGTTTAGCTTGAAACTTCTTGTATTGCCGAGATCTACTCAATGCCTTCACGCCGAAAACTGTGCTAATAGACAAAATTATGTTAGAGATATGGGTCTATAATTATCTGAGTGTGCTTTGGGGATGGGAACAATGACACTGTCCAATCATCAGGTAATACTCCTTCACTTAAACTCA